AGGACCATTAATGTTGGGATAAATCAAATTTTGAAATTCTGACTTTCCCCTTCTTGATCTATAATTCAATTCGGAATTTTTTCTGAAAACAAACGTCACGGGATTTAATGAGCTAAAAACTGTTTTCAAACATATGACTCCGAATGCGGACTACTTGAAAAATCTGAGATTTCCCTCATTTTTGAATTAAACTATTTGGGCAAGTAATTCTCAATATATCTAACCCTACATGATATATTTTTTTTACTTTTACACGCTCTCACATACAAAAGCCTCTTCTCTAACTTTCACCCTCTGTGAGAAGCAGAAATACTGGAGATGCGCAATTGGTAGCCTGTACAGGCAGCAATCGCTAGTTGGCAAATCTGTCAATGTTCATTCTTTTGAGGGTTGATTAGAAGCAAGCTGACAGTAAGTTTGGATGCTTTGACAAACTCTACTACTAATTTCATTAAAAGGAATGAACGTATTTTAGAGATATTGATTTTCTCAGTGGTAGACTGAACCCTCGATCTACCGCCGAGAATATTCCTACTTACCACTGTGCTATGATTGTCAGCTTTCACGTGAAAATGTAGCGGGAAATCGCTCCAATCAAATCATTTTTATTAACTCTATCATACTGCATCAATAATCGACAACCAGTGCGTGACAAAATACAATGAAAACTAGCCAATTTTTTATAAAATTCATTCAATTTCACAAATAGCTCCATACACCATACATTTTTTGCAGCTGCTAATGCACTTCCAGTCATCCCAAATTCCGTTTCTTGCCGGAATCATTACCGCACATTCCTGTCTGCTGCCACTAGTTGGCTTCGCTTTATCCCAATTGCTGTAATCGTATGGTTCTCCATCTGTCCAGACATATTCACCATCAACTAATTTCAGCCCAATGAATAATCGCAATGCTGAATACTGCGATTCTAATGCCAAATCTTAAAAAAATTTCGGAATCAGAGTTGGATCATCTTTAAAACAAGTTAAAATTGAATTCAACTGAATTAAGTTTAAATCCAACTGATATAAAATTAAACTGATTCAAATTTGAATTTGATCGGATCAAAATGAAACAAATTAAACTAGCTTAGAATTAAGTCAGATCAAAATTTCAATTTAACTGAACTGAACCAGGTCGAGTCAGTTTGAAATGAATTAGTTTCAGGATTAATTGATTCGAATTGATAGAAATGAGTTACTATGGACGACGATTAGTAAATGCAACTTAGGGTAAGAACTGCAACTTATTCAGAAATTGTTATTTGTTCGGTCTGAAAACAAGGGAGAATTTCCAATACGAAAAAACAGCTTTCGCGAAAGTCATGCTTCCTAGACCCTTCCATTCTTGTGCCCCCTCCCCCTCTTCCTCTTCTTCATTAGGAGCCCCTCTTTCCCCTCGCTCCACCTTCCATCGTCCCCCTCCATCGCTGGAAGTCCGTCCTGGACCCACCTATGTTTTCGAAAAGACAAAAACTGTTACTAGAGATGAATTCGTTTTCGGCTGGCGAATCAACTGAAGAGATGTGTGCGCCAATTTCCTTGCATTTGCTTTCTGCGTCCTTATAATTCATTGACTTTTCCTGAGCTATCACCTGTAAGCAAATCCATTACTGACTGCCCACGAGGGAAGACAATGTAGCAATATGCCACGTGATTCGCGCAATGTAATAAAGGAAGATTACCAATGTTTCCAAGCCTGTTACAGCATAGACTAACCGCACAGCTTGATTTGCAATAACAAATATTAAAAACAAAGATGACGAAAAAACACCGTATGCACCGAGCTGACTTTGTTTCATCCCTTAGCTGTAAGCACAAACAACACTAGCATCGTAGCCGATGCTCTTTTCCTCCGCATGCACGAAAAGGCCAAAACATAGGTATAGGAGCTGCACGTGTTAAATCGTAAAGCAGCAACCATTCATACTGTTAACGAACTAACTGCATCAAGTTTAACGCAAGAATACATGATCGCACAAGTAAGGAGAACACAGCGGATGGGTAGGGACGGAAATCATCAGTACAACATTCTGTGCGCCATTATGGGCATAATTAAATTTTCCAAGTTAGGAATTCAGTTTCACCAGTGCATTTGACTGCGCCGGCAAAAAAATTTTAGCTGAGCCTCATTTCCATTTCCCCGCTGTTTTTCTTATACGTCGTATTTTCCATAAGGAAGCGAGCTCCGAAAACAGGCTCACTTCATGTTCAGATTTATCTCCAGATTCTACTTCACCATCTCTTTTTCAAAGCATGATTTTGTTAACAGAAAGAATTTTTCTTCAGCTACAAAAGTATTTCTTTGGGGCTAAAGAGTCG